CTTGTTATAGTCATATTGATTGCCTTTTAGTGATTAATAGTGGGGAAAAAAATAGTACTCCCTTTTTTTTTTTTTTTTTTTTTTTTTTTTTTTTTTTTTAATTTTAGTCCCATATATTATTTTGGGCGTTTAAAAAAGATCTACTCATATTGAATATTAGGTTAAAATTTCATGCAATGTACGGTTGTTAAATATTTTTGACAATAATATTATAAAATACTCCGTATAAAGTAAATGATATGCAAAAATATTTCATTTGGGTATATATGGAATATGATTGTCAAACTGGAAAAAAATTATCATAAGGTAAAAAAAAAAAAAAGCGAAATTGGTGGGAAAAATTTTCACAAGGTAATGACAAGTGTCATTGGTTATTCGCTTTTAGTATAAGTTAATAGATGTTGCATTTTTAACTTATCTTTTTGGAATTAATTGGTTGTGGATTGATGACATGACTCTAAGTAAGGAAATCTCTACCTTGAATTATGCAATTATGACTTATGCTTTCTCAAAAAAAAAAAAAAAAAAAAAAAAAACTTAAATAAGGTAAATTAATTATGAATTATTTTGTACTTTAATGTTAGATTCCAAATATTCTTCTTTTCTTATTTTATGTGATTGATTCAATATGAGACTAACATTATGAAATTGAGGGAGTAATATATTGTTAAAAGTTTTCAAAAAAGGAAATGAAGCAAGTAATAAGATACGGTCGTAAAAGGAAAAATGAAGCAAGTAATAACATACGGATGGAGTATAATAAAATAACTGAGCCTAATCTCCCTTTAGAAGCACATACAAAAATTCCTCTTCTCATCTTCACAAAAATCTGAAAATCATAAACTAATTGTTTTTTTTTGGGCAACGTCTAAACACAGAGCCTCAGCCTACCTACTTGATGCACATTGACTTGAGCTCGATTACGAGTTGTGTAACCCTAGAGTTCGCTTGTTAAGTGGTTGTGTACAACCATGACAGATTGACAATAATAATCAGACAAGCTTTGTGGGAAAAGAGGCAACCTTGATCAGACCTCAATTCTCATGGTTTTACTTCAATCCTCACGTTTTTTTTTTTAATTCAGTATTTACGGGCAAACTAATTGAGAGTAGAGAGGAGGTTAAGGAAAACCCTACACTCGACCCAAACACCCTCACTGGGTAGGATTATTCAAACCCAAACCTCTAAAATTTAAGGTAAGAAATTTGCCAAATGAGCGAACACTTTATTAATATAGTACCCATTTATTTATTGAATTGTTTATGTGTTTGGTGTTAACAAAATTGGTACGGTATAATTACCCACACATAAAAATTACCAAAATTATCCTTCCTTGTCAACCACAAATAAACGTGACAGCAAGTTGGCAACAAACCAAAGTCGCACGCTCTTTCTTCCCCGACAATCATACGACGCCGTACTACCTTAATTTCACTCTAATACGTCGTCGTTTCACCATTTTCAAGTAGGTCACCTGCTTCCTTTTATCCTCCTATAAATCCTCCTTTTCCTCCTCAGTCTCTCTTTCGCCCTTTCTTCTTCCATTTCATCATTTTCTCTCTCCTCGGAGATTTTTCCAGGTATTCTTTTTTTTTTTTTATTTTTTATTTTTAAATTTCTCCAATTTTCATATCTAATTTCAGCTCAGATCTAGTTCATCTAAAAAAAAAAACCCCTAATTTTTGTTAGATCTAGTTGGAAAATTTCTAATTTAACCAGTAATTATTCTGGGTTAGATCTAGCTGGAATTTTCAAAATTAACCAAAGAAAAACTGGAATTAATTCTATCAATGAGCTGGATTTGATGATCCTTAAGACTAATTTGCTGAATTGAATTTCTTTTTTCAGGCGTTAATTTTTTGTTATAAAATTCCAAAAAAAAAAAGAAAAAAAAAATGAATCGATGGGAGCTTCAACAGAACGCCATGGTGGTGGGTTGTGAAGAATTCCGGGGCCCCGGTGGAGTATCGTTGTCGGATCGCAAAGGTCCTGTTCTTGTTTGCCCGAAACCCAGGCGAATTGAGTTTTTAGCAACGAATCTTACCATGTCTTTGAGATGGCAGAGAAGGTAATTTTGAATTTTAGTCGTAATTTTAGTTTTTTCTTTGATTTTGATTTTTAGTTTTTTTTTTTGTTTTTTTCTTGGATTTTTTTGCTGAATTTTGGTTGCTTTGATTTTGATTACAGCCAACAAAACGATGTTTGTGATTCAAAAGCTGGTGCTGATCTTCTTGACATGATTCTTCGCAAGGTAAATTCCTATTTATTTTTTATTTAATTGATTTTTATGATTAAATACTTTATAATTTAGAGCTGTTTATGGTATGATTTATTTTATTCGATGAGATTTTAATATCTTTGGATGAAGAAATGGTTAATTTTAGCTGATTATGTTAAATCTTAGAGGTTGATCTGTAAAATGGTTGGAAAATTGTGTACTTGAGACTATTGTGTAATTTTCTGTTTGATTTTGATGAAACATGACCCTGTTGTTAATTATTTAGCTGATTAGGCAAAGAGTTTGTGTGTGTTGAGGCGTAGCCGCCGTGTAATCGCGTATGTTTAATGGGTGGTGTTGATTCAAAGATCTATTGTTTGATTGTATGGTTAAAAGTTAACCTCCTGGCATGTCGTATGTGTGGAACATTGTAGCCGGCCTCGGTTTTTCTAGATGTGGTTGTGGTAAAGATCTAGTGTTTGTTTGTGGTTTTAGATGATTACTTCGTATATGTTATGTTGTAGGTTTATTAGATGTGGTTGTTGCAAAAGATCTAGTGTTCGATTTTGTGGTTTTAGGTGATTATTTAAGTAGATGCAACTATTGTGTAAAAGAAAGACTTGTTTTATAATCTTGGGTTGTTTTTGTACTTAAGTATGATGTTGCTTATTGAATATGTTGGTTGAGTTTAATAGTATTCTTGTTTCCGAAAGGAAATCAGTTGTTTATGATTGATAACTTGTTTGTGTACTTTGGCACTTTTGCGAAGGACAGAATTTGCTAATCAACCTGTGTTATTGTTTCTGCAGGAAAGTCACGGTGAAGGAAGATCTTCAGCTAGAGAGATTGCATCATCACCCCCATTTTTTTGTGGATCACCACCTAGTAGAGTTTCTAACCCAATAGTTCAGGACGCGCAGTTTGGGGATGAAAATTTATCCCCTTTGTCAACTTTACAACTCGCATCTCCTTCCACATCCGCATCATCTTCACCATCACCTTCGTCTATGAAGTCCGGTGGTGTGAGGATGAAGTTTGGTCTCAAGTCACCCACTGTAAGAGTAGAAGGTTTTGATTGCCTCAACAGGGATCGCCAGAATTCAGGCATCACTGCTGTGGCATAAAGAAAGAAAAATTCAATTGGTTAACTGTATATATACAAAAGATCGAAGTGAAGCTGCCGTTGCATAAGCAACTGCATCAAACTTCTTGTCAAGGAATTCCGGATTTTGACGAAAAAGATGTGTTTTTGGTTTTGTAGAAAAAATTGCTGGAGAGAAATTGTCTTGCCATTGTATATAGGATGTTGTTCTACTAGAAAGAACACTAAGGGAGACAACCCAGAGGTGTGGTCTCTTTTCTTTTTGTACTATATGAGAGAAATTTGTATAGAGAGCCATTGAGAGTGGTCTGACCTTGTAACTTATGGTGTAAATATACGCTCATTTGCTACTATTATATCGACTCCACTGTTCTTTAACTCGTGCCTCAATTCCCAAAGATCCTCAGCAATCTAGCATGGATTAAGAGCACTTTCGAATCTCCCAAACAGGGTGTTTCTGATGTGTGTTGAGAAGGCTCGATTCAACTCAAACTTGCAAGCCTAAGTTTGAGCTCGAATGTTGATGATGTGTGCTGAGAAGGCTCGATTCATCCCAAGTTTGAGCTCCAATGCACCATCCATTGACCTAGTATTATCATATTCAATTAAAATTTTCGAGGATTAGTCCAAATCTCGGGTTCATTTGTCTTCCGTAATTGTTGATAATCCACGACCTTAATTTGATGGACTTGGTAAGAAGACAACGTGAAGAAATGGACATGTATGGAGGCTGCTTTGAGGAATTCAACCACATGTTTATTTTAAGAATCAAGTTAAGATCAAGTCTTTTGGCTGAGTGCGAAAAACTTTGGCATTGGTATTATGTCAATATCATGATTTAATGGGTTAAATAATACGTCAATACCATACTTTATCACTCTCTTATTTTCTTCGTGTTTGTTTTTTATTCGTAGTTTTTGGTTGATGGGTTTTTGTTGCTTGGTCAAAATATAGATTAATTATACATTAATTATAGGGATATAGTACGAGGACAATTAAGTAACAGCTATTGTTAGGTAGTAATTTGCAAGATTAATGCTTTGCATGTTCTTATAAGATTTGAACCTTACTTTTTCATTATTGTTGTTGGTTAGAAAGAGACATTCTTTACTTTTTAAATTATTTGATTTGAAATAGTTATACTTTAACTCCTTTTCTTTTGACAATTTCGAATTCATAGTAGGATTATTATTATTATTATTATTATTATTATTATTATTATTATTATTATTATTATTATTATTATTATTATTATTATACAAGTATCATTTAGGGAACAGGGCAGATTAAAAATCTTTTTGCAAGATTTTTAGGTCTCTTGCGTTGTTTGTACGTTCTTTAATAAGATGTCTTATTTTTATCAGAGTACTTATTACATATTATTGCTATAATAAATTACTGTACTAGATTAGATTAGACCCGAAAAAATCAAATTAGGCTACAAAATAAGGTGAAGTAAACAACCAAAAAAAAAAAAAAAAACTCCTTTCCTATTCAAATAATCTTATTGCCAGGTTTAATAACAATTTAACGAACCATTCTTCAGGACCGATAAATCCTTTTTATTTCAAGTTAATGAAATAGATCTCAAACTCATGAGCACTATCAGAATTAGTAACATACTAACATGTAATGACAAAACAAGCACCACGGCAAACCCATGGTTAGTTGATACTGAAGGAAACCTAAACAGTCAACACCAGACTAATCAATGAGAATTAGAAAAAGCATCAACAGCTTCAGGGCAAAAATTGTTTCTGTAGCCATCACATTTCAAGTTTATGATACTTTTATGATAAGTTGACAATCAAATAAAACTAAGAAATTCTTCAATCTACCTTACAGTTATCTTACAAAAGAGTGAACATTCGCCATAAAAACGACGAGATAAAAAATAAAACTTATGGTCACAATTTGATCATGCAAGATGTTGGGCCATTGTAAGAATCTTGAGATGCTTTTTCTTCCTTAGCTCATGTGGGACTGGGCCAAACACTCGGGTCCCTACAGGCTCACCTTGCTTGTTAAGAATCACCACAGCATTGTCATCGAATTTGACCTCACTTCCATCACAGCGACCTCGCTGCATGGCAGCTCTCACAACAACAGCCCGTACAACATCTCCTTTCTTTACCTTCCCCCCAGGACGAGCTTCTTTCACTGAAGCTACTATAGTATCTCCCAATCTTGCTCCTTTCCTTCCCTTTAGAGCTTGTATACACATTACCTGTTTAGCTCCAGAGTTATCAACAACTGTAAGCTTTGTCCTCATCTGAATGAAAGTCCTTAGCTGCTGCAACACCTAAAGATGTTCATGTAATATGCCAATTTTATTTTTCCACTTCCTCATTGAGCAACAATTCAGCATTATTTGGATGTTTTGTGGTGAATAGCAGATGAAATCTGCAAGGAAAGGTAAAGTAAAGCAGAGAGGGTAGCATACCTGGGGATGGGGGTGGTTGCCTGTGGTCTCACACGTAGATATCAGTAAACTAGAGCCACTACCATTGGTTAGACCACCTAGCAATGATCGGCCCCCTACAACACATATTGCAAGAAACAAACCAAGTCAACCTCAGAACAAGAATTAGAACATATACTCATCCATTTTAAGTTAACCGCAAAAATCTAGAATTGAATTAGCTTCTGTTAGTACTGCCAGAGTGCCAGGGACTGATAGGCTAGCAAAGTGAGTGTGGGTAGGCAACAAAATCCAATTTTTTTTTTACTGCAAATGAATCAGAAGCTCGTAGAGTTGCAGCTATAAATGGGATGGTCAATACTCAATACACACAAACTAGCACAACCACTTTCCTTGTTAACGTAAAGAGTCTTATTCTGAACACAAGGTAAACCAAAAATAATGTCCCCCTCTCCCCCACTCCCCCCATAGAGTAGCCAGCGAAAAGTCACTGTCCAAGAAACTAGCAGTCTAGCACACTACAAGTACTTTTGGAGAAGTAATAAATAATTTGGAACAGCTTCCAAGTCCCCGATTGTAACAATGATAGACACACCTAAATAACAAATAGTCACAGACTCACAGCACATACCACCTTAGTTTGAATAAGTGCAAGGTGCACTGAGGCATCAAGTCCTCAACTCCGAGGTGCAAAGTGAGAGACAGGTACACAGACAATCGTTAGGAAGCACAAAGTTCAACAAGAAGGCTCATAAATTCTTTGGATATTTTAGCTACTAAGAAAAACATTGAAGGTTCCATTGTCAAATTTGCTGGAATTTGAACATTACCGGATGGATTTAATAATGTGGGCTGTGGTGGTGCACTTTGATGCAAGCCTCACTGCCTCGCCACCATGAGGCAAAGAGGTTAATACCTTCAGAATAAAAATTGCAAAGGTTCCCCGCACATTTTAGAAGTCAAAACTAAGTGTGCTATTTAAGTTTTATAGGCTGGTAGAAGAAAGCATCCCACTTATGGGATTAAGGCTTTGACTGATTGATTGATTGAGGCTGGTACAAGAAAGCATCCCAAAAGATCAAAAACAAAACCTTTTTTTGCTAAGAAAACATCCACTATGGATCTGGTAGTTTAGCCTGATTCACAAGGGCAAAACATCCTATGAATAGATTTGAAAATAGTCTGTGAACACAATATGTACAAAAATACTTTTCTAGTTTATGGATTCTAAGCAACAATAATAATTTCTAGATGGAGCAAATAAAGTGCCTATAATTTCTAGACACATGATCAAGTACAATAATAATGTTTTGATACATCATAAGCATGGACAGATAATACTCTTACTCCCTTGATCCAAGCACAAGAGTACGTACTTTGTACTCTGCACTATTATATGTTTCTCCCCAGTGTAACTACTACTCCCCTTGTTTATATTTCATTTTTTCTTTTCCATGTTAGGGGGAGGGGAATTTGTCATGACATGTTAGAAAATTTTTGCACAAGGTCCAGTACGACAGCATAAATAAAGGCAAAATCTAAGATCAAATGATCAGTCCAATAAGAAGAAAGAAAGATAATCAGCATCTAAAATGCTGATCATGGTTTTTTACTACTTTGTTTGTTGATCATTTAAAAAGCACTTGATAGACAAATAAAAGCGGAAATCAAAATATAAAGCAATACGAAAACATTATGAGCATATACCACGAGATAACTTCGAAGCCAGAGAAGATGACATCTTTACTTTGAAATGCCTGTCCAATGACAAGAGAAACAAAGGCACAGATATGAGAAAATGCATATAATGCCTAAAGTAATCTGCATAAGTAGAAATGTGATGGAGAATAAAGACAGTCTAATGAGTACAAAAAAGTCAGTAGCAAAGAAGAAAGGGACAGGGGGCATTCCTCTCCCTTTGATGGTAGGAAAATCTGCAAAGGGCTTGTTCTTTTAGGCATCTTTGCCTAAAGTTTTTTAAGGGGCTTGTTCAATCAACACTACAAGTCACGTTTTACTTATTGAGTTGTAAAACAATTCATGAAGTTAACCATCAACACTGTCTAACATTTCACTCTCCAAAAGATAATACAACTAACACATTTAGTAGCAGAGAAATAACAACGCATAAAGAATTCATTTCGAGAAATTCGAACAAAAGATACTTGGTGAAGAAGAAGAATTAAAAGAAAAGAAACAATGAAGCTACTCTTAAGTACGCGAACTACTAAGTATTGTTTCTTGAATTCGTTTCAGTGCATTAAATCCTTACAATCAAATATCCGTCAATGTATTGTTCTTACATGCTCAACAGTAAACATAACCACTTAAATCATACAAGAATTACGCAATGCATGGTATAATGAGATTTTCACAAATTTATTAAATAATGTGTAATCTAAACAACTTGTGATGGATCTAGCAGTAACGAAACAGGGGGGGCAATACAACCCCTTTTGCAAGGAGCCAAATTATTTCAATGTATACCCAAAGCAATACTCTCATTCTATCGAGATTTCCAAAAACCTATAGTTAATCATGGCATTTTATCATTACTTTCATAGATTCTTAATCAAGCCAAAAACTACCTAATACCCAAATTCACTCTTCAATCTCCAATCCTTCATATCAATTATACAGCACAAACCAAATATAATCAACAAATACTAATACGAATATCGACGATGAATCGCCCGATCCTCCTTAAACCCAAAACATGAACAACAAGAACAGCTCCAATTTCCTGGAAAACCCATTTTGCACAAAACATACCCCCAATAACAATCCAAACACTACCCATTTTCTAACAACATCCAGTTGCAACATCAAACTAAGTTTAAATTTGTCACATTTCAAAATAGTAAGCAAATCACTTCTTCTTCTCCTACTGTTTCAATACTGTACCCTAATAATTATAATTAGTAGTCCAGAAAATTACATTAATTTTAATCATTAATTTACAATTACAATGACTATTCAACTAATTTTCTACAAAAGTAAACGAATTAAAGAAAGAAGGTTACCTGAAAACAATGGCAAGATGTCAATGGAGCTAAAACTCACTGCAGAAGACGGTCGCTCAGTTTATAGAGACACAAAATAGAAGGAGAGAAAAGGGCTGATTTTTTTATTTTTTATTTTTTATTTTAAATTTTTATGGGATTTTTCTAAGAAATAAAACCCCTCCTTTTACAATTTTGCCCCTCCTTTGCACTTGGTGTGTCAATCACTTTCAGATAATAGCGTTTTCTCTCTCCTGTAAAACAGAACAAAATCCAGAAGGAATTGAAGATTTCTACAGATTTAATTTTGGAGGTATGAAGTTCTGATTAAGTTTTGATTTTTTTTATATTTTGGCTCGAATTTGTGTGCTTGTACATTTCATTTGGGGATTTTGCTTGCTTTTTTGTTAAATTTATGTGGGTACAAAAAGAACCCAAGATAAAAGATTGGAACTTGATGATAAAATTATACGAAGTATCTAAATTTGGAGAAGTTTGAAACGGGTGTTATTAAACTTATTATTTTACTGGAATTTGGGATAAGTGGGTGTTCAATTTTATAGTTGAACTCTTAATTTTGGTGTTTGGAAGATCTATTAGATATGAATCCCTGGAATTTTAGTTTAGATGATTGTAAATATTTATTTGTTTATGTTTATTTGTATTAGTGGAGATTATGAGGGTTTGCTGGAATGTGTTAACTGATGATCCAATTTTATTGGATAATTTACTAGGGTTTTTAAATTTGGATGCAACACAATAATGACAAACAAGCCAGTGGAGGCTTTCCACCTCTTGGACCAATTACAGTGTATTTTGGATCGCGACCCTCTTATGTAAGTTTCTGTACTTGTAATTTGTTGTACTACATTGTGTTTGAAGCTTTTGATTTATTGAATTATGTTCTTTTGGACGCTTGGCATCTTAATTTGGTGAGCAATTCACTTTGCTATTGCTAGTGAATTATCAAAAATGACAATCTTAGTTGGATCACGCTAAAATAACATGAACCTAATGATTCCAGAGAATGTAGCCCTTAGAGATTGCGTGATCATTGCTGATAGTTTTGAGTTATGTCGAATACATTCCCCTGTTCAGGTGATCATCATGAGGGCTTTTCCCTTAGGAAATATACTCAGTAGGAATTTAGGATTATGATATTTCTTGTTCCATGAACCACAAAGTTCTCACTAGTCACCATCAAGGCTAGTCCTTTACCATTTAATCATAAGGCTTAACTTTCTCTTCTTCCACGTACTTGGATTTTTGTTCCTTTTACCCAGATCATGAATTTAAAAAATGCTATTGATTTTACTGGTACCTCCAAAAGATCGTTTATGTCATGCAAGTATCATATATAAAACAGGAGAATTAAATACTTATTCAGTTATTCATAAATTAAAAAACCTAGAGGAATTAATGGTGTCCAAAAGTGTGCGTCAAGTGCCTTGGAGCGAATTGCACTTCAGCTGAATTGCCTCGCCCCAGAGCCATTAAGGCGATCTTGTGCACCTCGAGCCTTAGTGCCTTTAAGTGTAACTTTTCTTGTACTGCTGTACATAGTGATTGTTATGAGGATGTCTCTCCCTATTAAAAGAATATTGGTTTCATCCACTATTATCTTTCTCTGCTATACAGCGTATGGATACAATCATATTTGTCCACTGCTTGTTCCCTATTATCATTCCCTTTTAAATGAGCTTGGTTCATTTACAGTGATGAGTTGGGATTTATTCATCCATCCCAGCTAATGATGCTCAATGAAGGGGAAGATGCTGCCATTCTTACTTCTAAGGATTACAAAGTAGATGCAAAACTGGGTTCTGAACCTTTAGATGCTAGTGAAGTGGAGGGAAAAAATGATTTTTTCTGGAGTAGAGAGCACAAGTTGGGAATATCCACTGAGCACCTTCTTCCATTGTATAAAGCAGCAAAGCAGCGGTTCATGGATGCATATGCAAATTATAAAAAGAATTCCAGTTGTTCTTTGAAGAATGAGGATGCGCCTAGCAGTTGCATCTTATCTGAGATTGAGGATGCAGTCATGAAGCACAGCAAGGTTCTTTTGTTGTTGAGTAGTGACTTTGGGACTGCATGGAATGCAAGGTTAATTTTGCTTGTCCTTTGCTGGATGCAATTTGCTGATATAATTTTATTTGGTATTTAACCTAAACAGAAGATTAAAACTTTTAATGAAACAGCTTCCATGTCTAAACCTACTATAGATTTTTTATCTTGGGATTATTTGCATTGTTGTCTGGCCTTCAGGCTGGCAAGTTATTGTATATTTTATTTTTTATTTTTATTTTTTATGTTCTAATAACTTCTTTTTTTACTAGTTTGATTTGTTAACAGTATATGTTGTGAGTTTATAGATGCAAATGCTATTCACTTGGACTGAATGTTATTTTGTCTCATCAATACAGGAAGCTCATTATATCAAAGAGAGAAGAATTCTCGATTTCAGACGAACTTCTCGTATCCTCTTTGGTTCTTTCTCTTGCTCCTAAATCCGAAAGTGCTTGGAACTATAGGTAATTATGCTTCTCATTGATGTCTTAGTTTCTCTTTCTAATATTTCATATTATCTCAGTTGAGACAAGTACAATGATTTACATTACTTGGTGCATTTGTCTGATTGTCTCCATGTGAGAATCCTCTTTACTTTGAGGGATTATATTTTACAAAAATTAATTCTTAAATCCTAGGCTTTGAATCTCCTGCTAATGATGGAGTTAAATTGAATACTTAGATCTAAGTGTGATGGCTCAAATATTACCCTTGTCCTTCCTTTTCTCCCTTCTTAGAGCCTTTCCTCTAGCAAACTTTAAGCTACAAAGGCTCCTTATCAGGCAACCTGCAATTGGTGGACATTTGACATGCTCACATGCAATAACTGGTGGCTTTTTCACACTGCTCCCTCTTTTTTCCCTTTTTGTGTCTTGCATGTTATCTTACTCCCTTCCTCTCCTCCTGGAAGCTCAGACACTGGCAAAATGCTATTCATCCTTTACCCAGAGTTAGAATGTAAGGGGTTTTGGCAATGCCAAGAGAGGGACATAATAAGAAGAGAAAAAAATCATGAAGAGAAACTTTTTCATTAGATCTGGACTGAATTGTGATTCACTGGTGTTTTATTGGCTGCTTTTGGTGATTCCAACAGGGCTTGGGGAGTAGAAATTGCACCTTTTGATGGTCATCTATTGTTCACCCCCATAGGCCCCATTTTTTTATGATGGAAAATGTGATGAGCCAACAAAGGCAGGGGTTGGGAATTTCTTATTGATTTTTTTTTACCTTTTGAATCCATTCAGATTAGATCTATATAATAATATGGTAGTGAGATAAGTAATTTGACCCGTGAATAGTGATTTTTTGCACAAGGGTGCATGCTGAGCTGTTCAATGACTTCGATCTGGGGCTAAATGTAATGAACTGATTCAAGTGCTGGGACGATAAGAATTTATCTGACATGTACTCTAACAGGAAGAGAGGGGATGCTATGACACCTCTCTATGTCAACTTTTGTCAGGGAGGCTTTTATGCTTTTACTGAAATTTGGTGTTTGTGGTCCTCTTTTACCACCGTTTTTTGTGTGGTTCTGGTGTTTCTGACCTCCTTGACTGTGTTTCTTGATAGGAGATGGGTTATCAAGAGAATTGCTGGAAGATGTCCAAATCTGGAGCTGATTTTGGCAAAAGAATCTGAGCTTGTTGAGAAAATAGCAGAGGTTTAATTTCAGTTGCAGAACTGGGTATTGTTAAAGGTTTATTTGCTATTCATTGTTTGTGTGGCTTCATAGCTAAGTGCTGGTTTTTGTTCATGTTCATCTTCTTTTCTTACTTTCGGGTGTGGAAGTTTTTTACCAGCTGTATTTAATCTGTTCTCCAATTTCTCATTGAAATGAAATGAACCTGTACTTACGATGAGATCACACTGTGTATTTTTTAGCTGAAGACTGAATGAGATAAGTAATCAATTAACTTTTTTTCCCTAGAAAAAGATACTAATTTTGGACTATCTTTGCAGAAGTCAAAAATGAACTACCGTGCTTGGAATCACAGATGTTGGTTAATTTCTTATATGACTAGTGAACAGGTGAGTTCTGAACTAGTATGGCATGTTATGCGTATTTTCATCCTTTGTTTATTAGATTTCCCCCCTACTATTCATGGTGGAAATTATGCAAGATAGGAGAACTTAAAATATCTGTTAGAGCTGATTTTGGAAATGTTTTCCTAATGGGTCAGCTGAGTATCTACCTTTTATGACAAGGTTTTAATATCCAAATAAACTGGTTTATGACATAAGATTCAAGGGAAGGGATCAGAGCTATTTTTAAAGGATTTGCAGTCTTATGAGCCAACAAAAAGTTGGAAGATCCTGAAGGAACTTCTAATTGACAGATCAATATAACTTTGTTTGTAAAACGCCTCTTAGTGGAAATTGGAAAATAACTATGAAAAAGCTTACTACAGGGACCAATTTATATGGTCTTGGAACTTTTAGCTCACTCTCACTTGATATCTATGTCAGGACTATGGAAGCAATAATCTAGTGACAGAAAGCAGGTCATGTAGTAAAAGTGCACTTTCAAATGTTTGTGTTATTTTGATGTGTAAAGGCCTAGTTTGGAAAGTTCTCTGAGCATACTATCTCCAGGAGAAAGGTTTCTATTTGCTTGTATAGTGTCAAAACATGTGTGACCCCAATATTCTCAATGAATTGCTACTACGCATTTTCCTACGTGTGCGTGTTGGACTGCCTGAAAATATAGGAACAGGGTATTTTAAAAGTGTTGTCCTCCCTACTTTGTGTTTCTCTGATTGAATATGACCCTGCCATGTTACAGGCTCTTTGTGAATTGAACACCAACAGAAAATGGGCTGCGTTGAATGTAGCTGATAATAGCTGCTTTCATTATCGACGGGTAAATATTCCTTGCTAAATGTTCAATTTTTACTTAGGTTGCAGGGTGAAGCATTAAGCCTCCTTTTTCCGTTTTATCCACATACACCAGATTCCTACCCCCCTCCCTTTTTTTAATGATTCTGAACCCTGCCTGCTTTCCACTTCCCCAATTCTGGCAGAGCCGCTAAGGTTAAGTTAAAAGTTAAAAAAAAAAAAAATCCATTATACTTTGTGCTGATATGGTGCATCATTGACATTAATATTCTATTCATATGACATGTTCCAAAATCCAAACAAATATTGGAGGTTTCTGTTGTTACTGAAATTGCTTCCTTAGCTTGTGCAATAGCTGGATACCTAACAGAAGCATGGAATAAAATCTGAGCTGAACTGCAGAAACAATAAGCCAGAATACTTTCTCAGGCTTATAAATGTGATTGAGCTGCTAGATAGCGCTTGGCAAATTCTTTAGTGGTAAAAATATTCAGCCACATATCTCAAAAACAGATCGTGCCAACCCCCTTTTTATGAATGCTATCAATTAGTAATTCCCTGATGCCAAAGGAAGATGTAACTCATGTAAAGACATGAAATTTGTTTACTTGATCTTTAAGATGCATTAGGTAAAAAAGATGAGGTAATTGAGAATGCTAAAAAGTACATTCTTGTGTGAAGTTTCGTGTAAGAGTTTTTGGATGATTTGGCATTTTATAGATGTTTATAACATTTTTTGACATTGCTGGGTGACAGAAGCTAATGCTGCGGATGTTTGGGGATGTGAGTCATGGGATAGCTGTTGATACATGTATTACACAGGAGTCGCTTAAACAACTATGGAAAGTAATGTCTTGAATCCGAAAATATCGTTCAACAATTTGTTTTGAGTAATTTGTTTTTTAATTTTATCAATATGGTTATACCTTTTAGTAATGTATATGGTTGGTTTAGTAAATTTCTGGTTTTAGTTACTATCCACCAGTGTGGCATGGCTTGTGTTTGTTTTTACACTCTTTATCTCACATGTTCCATGTAGAATTGAACTGGATTTGTTAAATAAGTTGCTCCAAAATCTGTGAACTAAAGTTTTTGCAGCGACATAGTAGCTTTTGGCTTCAAAAGGACTGAGTAGGGTGTCATTGTAGCTCAGAAACCCCAGATCCTGAAGCTTAAAGCTATGACAGTTGTGCTTGAGGGGCTTGGAACTTCTTGATTGTGAGGTTATGGCTTCTTTGGGTCTTCCAGCACCTAAAGTTCTTATCTTTCCGTCTAAATTATTTTTGAATGATTGCAGGATGAACTGGATTGGAACGAAGTGCTAATCAGACGTTATATTGGGCGAGAGGTACATATACTTATTTGATTGCTTGATAACTAAAATGTTTGTTTCATGTATTGTACTTGCATACTTGGTACTCTCCTAGTAAATAGACTACGAGTCATTTATTCTTTTGGTTTTGAAAACAGTGCAGTTGATTCAGTACTGATGTTAAATGATAAAAGAAGGCTTGAAATAGGTTCATGCTGTATCACATGTGAATTTGGTCTTTTGTACTTTGAGTATTAAGCTTCTATGGACTTTACTCTTAGATTCTTAGTTTACTCTTGATAGGCTTCTACGGACTACGTACTTTATAAAACTTGTATGATGAATGATGCAAGAGTCAAATTCCAATAAATGGGGAAAAGTTAAAAGTGAAGGAACCTGTTATAAGATTTTTGTGAAGTGGAAAGTCAACAGTCGCAAGTTTCAATTTTCCTGTACTTGGCACTTTGGCAGTCTATCTTTCTTTGTTACATTCAGTCTTTAAAATTGGTATTTTCAACATTTTGGCAGGCCTTGTGGCTCCATCGCCGGTTTTTATCTGTATATTGGGTGAAACATTTTGGAACTGATCAACCTGACATCTCACGGCACCCCAACGAGAAGAGCATTGAAAGTGACTATGTATCTGTCTTTATCGACAACGAAGTCGGTCTTCTGCGAGATTGCTTGAATCTTCCAGAGAGCATGTTTGAGGATGTTCAATCACAAATCATTCATTCTGCTTTCTACATTTTGTGGCTAAACAGGGTAATATGCACAACTTTTCCACATTTTTAAGTCTTAGAAAATCTGTTATTCTTCTGCTTGCTAATCTTTTCTTGTTACTCTATACGGCTCAGGAACTTCTCTGTCCTACGATTATTAATCTCAACCAGAAGCTTGAAACAGGTGATTTGAGGACATTGTTAAACAAGCTGTGCCCTGAAAAGATTACTGTTTGGGATTGTTTGTTGCGCGAACATTCTTTGCAGGACTCTACATCTTTGTGAGAGGATTCCCTCCATTTACTGACTTGAAAGAGATGATGAATTTGGAATGATAGTTAATTGTTAAACAGTCACATCGAATCCGAAAGTTTGTTGTGTTTTAGGCTACTTTATTAGAAGTGTCATAATCATATTAATAATAACCAGCCAATAAACAAAGCTTCATTTTGTTACAGCAAGAACACAATACTCATTTGCAATTATTGTTAAAAAATTCCTCATCATCTTGTAACTTAGTTGCATGTTAAACTCTTAAGTCTTAACTCTTGGATAATATATACTTCGTATAACAATTAAGTTTGAGCTACATTTCTTTTGTAAAATTAAAGGTATGTGATTTATGCTCTGCTTTATCCGACTTTGTCTGAAAATATCTTAAATTTATTACTCGTATATGTAGTACTCTATCTATAACAGGAGTGTCCATTATTCAGATTAAAACTGAAATCTTATCCAATCAACACTGAATGCTTTCAAATCGGATCAGAATGATTTTTATTTATTTTATATATTTTTTTAAATTTGGATTTTCGAATTGGATTGGTTTGACTTTGTTTGGAACTAAAAAGCCAAATTAATTGAAATATAGAGAAGTGTATCTAAGTGACTTGGTTGCCACGCCCTAGCGAACCTCAGAGGAAAGGGAAAAAAAATATACAATTACATTATGTTTTCAAGAAGACTTGTATTTCTGTGACGGGCTTAGACCAATTTTATTTTAATAATTATATTTTTATTTTAAAATTGCATTTTTTTTATAATCACATTACTTAGGCCCTAAAAATTGCAAACTTAATTAAATGAGATTTTTCGGATTGGATCTAAATAACTAAATTTTAATTCAAATTGGCTTTGTTGATATTTTTGGATCGAATTGGATTGAAAAATTGAAAATTGAATTTTATTTTAGATTTAATTTGACCTTAATTAAAACTGAAAATCAAAGAACACCTCTATCTTTAGCTTATTTTGTCTTACACTTTTAAGCAATTGTGGGAGACCATTCTTGTTATCAATGGCTAAGAATGTGAGTTTAATGGGTTACCACAAACTATGAGGGATCACAAGAGTTTTTAAATTTCGAATGAAAAACAGATGAATAAGAATATAAGATGAAATTAGATTATCTCTTCGAATAGACTGTTTATTCCAATGATATATGCGAGAGGGAAGTCCCTCTAGAATTCACTTATGAAGAAGCAAATTAGACGGAAAAAAGGAGTTGGAATAAATTAACTTTGTCCGAAACTCCAAAATTATAAAAACTTATTTTGTTTGCACTTATTTGAAATTGCATAGATTTAAATAAGTAGAACATAATAGGGTCTTACCTCCATTTCGTATTATCTAACTACCAATTTCAAATTTCACAATTTATGTCAACATTCAATTATTTGTCATTCTAAAATAGCAGTGTAAATACAAGCCGTCAACCTAAATAACTAATGAAATAACTACTTGTATCAACTTTGTAATTCATGTGAACAATTTTGAAAACGGTAATATAAAATTGAATAAACTGGCACATAAACGCGTTTATCATCATAATGATACATAAACGTGTTTATCATACTGACACATAAACGCGTTTATCATATGACTTTCTTTTCAGGTCAATGTAATTATGAAATGTGCCTCACACTATTTTGCATTTTTGCTAATGTTGGATACTTTGGTAACATTCATTTAAGGCCATGAAAGGTTTTTTTTATATCCCACATGATTTGAATGGTTGGACATAAATATTAGTCCAAGTGGGATCATCTTTTTTTGGGAAATTAAGATTAGTTCAAACATTGACTTCTTATAAAATTGTTAGCAAATCATTTTAGCTCTTATTCAAGCAATATTTTCCTTTAGTAGAGGATATTTCACCATTTTTTTTACCATAAAAAAGTCCCATAATAAGCCTAAATTCAATTAAAACACATTTATTAAATAAAAAAAAGACAAAAATTATAATAATAATTATAATAAAGGCCAAACTAATTAAAATCACAAAACTCTTTCCATCTACCACCACTATAAATAAAAACCTTGTGTTCATCGAATTATACAGTTTCATCTTTGTTTTCTTTAAATTTTCTCTCATAATTATTTTTTAATCAATTTTTACAACATCAAAAATGAGTAATTTTGATGAAGGAGGCAATAATAATCATACAAACCTAACAAGTTGGGAGAAAATGAGGATGGATTATCATATATGGGGTTATGATGAATTGGAGGCTTGTTGGTATCCTTATTACAAATTTGCATTTGAGGATTATGAGAGGATTATAAAAGAAGATGGTGAGGAGATTGTTTGGCAAGATGATGTTTGGAATTTGATGGACATTCAACAAACTCCAGATTCTAAAAAGAAAGATGATCAATTGGTCTCTAAAGAAAAAAAAAAACTAAACTAAACTAAACTAATAGTACATTGTACTGGAAGGCAAAGCATGCGGCAGATTAGAGAGTTATGGTAGCACATTTGGTTTTTTCTCACATTTTGTTATGTGAAAAAATGCGTTCTTATGTAACATTTGACCCTAAAATTATTATAAAAGATGTGTGATTCCTGCATTTTTATTTTTAATTGAGAAAGACATAATCTGCTAGCATATATGTCTAAAATTAGATGGATCTATATATTTAACTAAGAAAATTTCATCCATAAAAAGTTTAAATCATTAAAATTACAATCATTGACACCAATTTTGTTAAGTTTTGTAATTATTGACACCAACTTATATCAACTGCTAAATTAACACCAACTTGCTACAAAAATTACGAAATTGACATAAATGACACTGAATAACTAACTTTACATTACTTTCAACCCTTGTGCAAGTATAAAATTCCTTTTTAACAATCATTTGCTTCAAAAAGTTTTTAATGTGTTGGAAAGATAAGACTATATAGATGTCATATGTAGAGTATTATTGACTGTTTAGTGCCTTTAATGTCAATTTTATTCTTTTTTTGGGCAAGTTGGAGTCAATTTAACAAGTGACACAAGTTCGTGTCAATATTTGCAACATACTCCTAAGTTGGTGTCAATGAGTGTAATTTTGTCTTATTTATTTATTCGTTACCAATGTCCTTGAAAGAATTTACAAGCTGAAAATTTTCAAGCTCTCCATCAACAATCCTATCCCTCTATAATGTCAATTAGCCTAATTGGTTAAAGTTATGTCTATTCTTTCCTTTCCTAGCTTGGCAATTGAAAATTTGAAATTATGAAATGAGAGAGTTATTGAAAAGTGGGTCCATCAGCATGCCTTTCGTGACTCTCTTTACCCAAAAATAAACGTACCTCTGTCCTTTTTTAACGTCATACTACCTCTATTTTAAATTCTTAATTGCTACGTTTTTTTTACATTATCCGTGTGGTTTGTTTTAATTATTTTTTGTAATTTATACTCTAGAGAAAATATAGTCCATGTGGTATTGTTATGTGAATTTATTAAATTAATATAAAATCACTTAAATTTTTGGTATAATAATAATTAAAGATATTAATGGTTAAAGTTTTGCATAAAGTTGTCTACATACTGTATTTGGATAAAATTGAGTTCAGCCAGTCCAAAACGTATTAATTCATGTTAATATACTATAAAAATTGGATCGAATCAATTTAATTTTTGTAAATAAAGAAACAAAGCTTTTCAGACTGCATTGAGAGAGTTTGAATCCGATCTCATCGAATAAACAAAACTTGGATTTATAAATGGCGTGGACATATTTTTGTAAAATCCTAATTGAGAATCTGAGATTGTAATTTATTTTTAGTGCATTTTTACAAAAATCATAATTCTTTGTCATTCAAGTTTTGAATTGGAATCAAATCCCTAAACTCTTATTCAGATTAGATCTAATTGAAATTAACTTGGTAGGAGATTCAGATCGAATTCAATAATTCAAAAACGATTTTATTTCGAATAGGATTGGATTAAAACAGACTTGCACTGTCAGTGCAAATATGACTAAAGATACGTAACACGTAACGACTGGAAATAAAAAAGGAAATAAGTAAAAGCTAGGAATTAATTTGGCAAAATGTATGAAAGATTAATAGTTGATGACTGGCAAAAAAGGGAGATATCATTTATAATTAGGAAATAAATCAACTTTAAATATAACAATCACATCCCTCTATATGAACACATACATATTCTATTTGAATCCGGGATAAATGGAATTAATCACAAACAAGATAGCAAAAAACAATCAAACTAGTACCCAGCAGGCTTGTAGGCAATGAAACTGATGCATTGCACTTGACGGTAGCTGTCGAATCCAATGATTCTGATGAAGGCGTTGGGGTAAGCCTTCTTGGCTTCCTCGAGCTCGTTAACAACCTGGGTCGGGTCAGTGCAACCGAACATAGGCAACTTCCACATGGTCCAATATCGCCCATCATAGTATCCTGGTGACCTGTGGTTCTCACGGTACACAAATCCGTGCTACAAAAAATTAAAACATAAAATGTGTTAGCTATGTACATACGTAAATATGATATTTACCTATAGAAAATGTTAGCAATTAATATGAAACTTACCTCAAGCTCGAATTCTAAGCAAGGAACCCAACCCTTGTTAAGAAGGTATTGAACTTCACTAAGCAAAGACTCAGTGGTGAGTGGTGGAAGGTAAGACAAGGTCTCGAACTTCTTCTTGCCAACTGGTGGCCATACTTGCATGCATTGTACTCTGCCACCATTGCTAGCAAGAGAAGTAACATCAATGTTGCTCTTCTTAGTAACAGGGAAAGCTGAAGTGGACTTCAAACCGTTGAATGGTGCCACCATGCTAGCCTGAGCAGTGCTAGCTGAGGCTACAGCCGCAGCGGCGTTGGACATCATGCTAGCTGCCATTTTATTCACTCTAGTGTATGATGTGTTTCTCTTTTGTTATTCTCTTCTTCTTTGGTTGAGGCTTATGTTGTGTTGAACCAATGCTATTTATACTCGGAAATTGGTTTAGTTGCCTAATAAAATTTATGGTCCTTATTTAAATGAAGAGATGAATGAGATATGGTTGTGATTTTATTATGAATAATAATAATAATAATTTTGGCCATTATAATCAAGTGGGTATGCAAGACCTTAGCTTGTAGCATAACCACCACACATGACTCAATCTTGGAGATGTTATGAATATTTTCCACCTCAACATTTTTTGACTTTTCTTTAATATAAATATTGTTTTTTTCAATAGTGCTCATAATTTCTGAATATATTTTGATATATGGTAAATGCATAGTAGGATCACAACTACAATTTCTCCTAAGAAATTATTTAGTGAATAACCAGGTAATTATTTAATTGACCATGCTTGTGTGCTTGGTTCATGGTTGGATTGGTTTTTTGTTTAGTTCGTTCTTTTTTGTGTGTCAGAAGAGGAACATAAAAGCAATGGTTTAAACATGATTCGATTGCAACAGTTCAATCTTGATCAAATTTAACCCTTAAACCTTAACCAGACCAATTAAACGAACTTTACCCCATACATTGACATTCATATTGTTTTTTTTTTTTTTAAATATAAAATTTATTTATTTAAGTTATCAAGTTCTATTCGAATTCGTGTAATATTTTGTCCGACTTTAAGTATTGAGCTATACTATTGGTCTTAGACTCTTAGTCATACACATCAATATACTCTTATATCCAAAAATTCAAATTTACAACTACATGGTATACTCACTCCACTTGATTAGATTTTTTATACAGAGTAGTATGGAATAGAATTGGGCTCAAATGTAAGGCAAGGAGAAGAGTGTAAAGTGTAAGAAGGAATTCAGGAATTGAGACTTGGGATCGATCAATGTATATACTTGGAATCTATAATTCTGTACCATCGACTAGTAAGTTTTGTTCACAAAGAAAATGTTGATAGAGTTTAAGATAGCCATGGAAATAATAAGGTAAATTCTTTTATGCATATATGAATTATTATAATCACTCCGTTCTAAAATTTAGTGCTTATATTTTATTTTTGATGCTCCAAAAAATTGTAATGTTTTTTTATCTTTTATCTTTACTTTACATAATTTGATCATGATGTATCAACTTTTTTTATAAAAACTTATTTTTATACAAAATACCTTAACATTTCCCCAAATTTTTGGGCCATTATTTATCTTTTAGCCTTTTTTGTGTAAATTACCCTTATATCTATGCCTTCAATAAATGAGTAAATGCATGTTTGAGTCATTTTTTTTAAAAAAAAAAATAAAAAATAAATAAAATATTGGTATACTTGACTAGATTTTTATGTCAATTTAAGAATATCACTCCCTCCATTGTACTACTCTTAATTCCCATGAACAATAGAAACAAACTCAATATAATGTGACGAGGAAGTAGCAAGTACTTAGTGCCAATATACATCCAAATAATTAATTAAGTAGTAATGACAATATACATCCAAATAATTAATTAAGTAGTAATGACAAATTCAGTAACACATTTGAGAATAAGAGAGGTTCCACTACTTGATATGACCCGTAGGCCTCCTTTTACATCAAGTCATTTAATTTACAAGTTCACTTCTCTCTATATATGGACCCACTCAATAACCCGAAACAACAAAAATAAAAACCAAACAAGCATAATTTTTCAATGAAAAAAAAAACTTCAATTCAAACAAAGATCATCAGTCATACATAATGCTTAGATACACGATTTATGTGTAAAACAAAACAAATCACAAATTACTGAATTAGGCCAAGCACTTAGATCGTGCAACATAATCCATCTTTGATCACTCGTAGTTCTCTGGCTTGTAGGCAATGAAACTGATGCATTGCACTTGACGGAAGCTGTCGAATCCAATGATACGGATGAAGGCATTGGGGTAAGCCTTCTTGGCCTCCTCGAGCTCGTTCACAACCTGAGCTGGGTCAGTGCAACCAAACATAGGCAACTTCCACATGGTCCAGTAACGCCCATCATAGTACCCTGGTGAGCTGTTGTGCTCACGGTACACAAATCCGTGCTACAATAGGAAGAAAAAAAAAACATAATAAGTTGTTTATCTAGGTGCAAACATTTATTATATCATACATATTATTTTTGGTAACGAAAAAGAGACCCTACTGAACCAGCACCTCTTATAAGTCAATCAACCGTTAGTTCAGCAACATATATGGTTAACTATTGAAATAAGAGGGGGGAGGGGAGGGTTTATAGGGCTTACCTCAAGCTCGAATTCTAAGCAAGGAACCCAACCCTTGTTAAGAAGGTATTGAACTTCACTAAGCAAAGACTCGGTGGTGAGTGGTGGAAGGTAAGACAAGGTCTCGAACTTCTTCTTGCCAACTGGTGGCCATACTTGCATGCATTGTACTCTGCCTCCATTGCTAGCAAGAGAAGTAACATCAACGTTGCTCTTCCTAGTAACAGGGAAAGCTGAAGTGGACTTCAAACCATTGAATGGTGCTACCATGTTAGCCTGAGCAGTGCTGGCAGTGGCCACGGAGGCAGCGGCGTTCATCAAACTAGAAGCCATGGTTTTATGTAATTTGTTACTCACTCTAGCTTAGCTCTTTTCTTTTGATTACTTCTTTGTTGAATGAGTAATATTGATGTATGTACGGTCCAATTTATAATAGTATGAAATAACTCAAGCTAATCTTCTAAGATGTATCTTGTATGGTCATTGCATAGTTTGCAAATAAAGAGGATTTTTAACCATTGGAATGGAGTGGGGGTGATAGTGTGGGGCCTTACTCATCAACTTAGCCTCACAAGTAAAGAGATTTTTATTCATTCCTTTTTCGGTAGTCTGGCACCCATTTGGCCATATTCACAAAATAATAAATACATAGTAAGGTTTTACTTTCCCGTAAAAAAAAAAAAGAAAAAAAAAAGGGACTTTACTGAACCATACTACGGAGTAGTACACTTACAGACCAACTAATTCAGCTATTAGGTCTAATTTTAAAAGGATGTACTTAAATAAGTACATTCGGGTGTATAATAAATATGATGTTCAAAACAGCAGACAAGTAAGTCATTCAATTATAAACGCAATGATAAAATTACATAATATACAACTAAGTCTTGCAAATCTGCATAATAAAATATCTTACATCATCTTACCAATCATTTTTTTTTTTTTTTTGTCAATTACCGATCACCTTCACAATTACACTACAAGTACCTTTCAAATTTTAACCAATTAACGCAACAAGTCTTAAGCAACGGTCATATATGAATGTATTATACTCTTTTGTAACAATGCGAGTTGTTTGATGGACTCACTTGTGACTACAAATTGAGATAAGAGCATCTGCCTAAGCTCAATAGAAAATTATGGGTCATGAATTTGATGTATATTGTATGTATGAGAATCCAAGAAAAACCAACCACAAAAATTGAACTACATCTAAAAGATAATGACCTCCAACCTATCAATACTCTTAGACAAATTTTGAGAAAGTTGAAACAGTTGTTAATGGACGGTATTTATTTTATACAAGTATATTGCAAGATTTGCAACGAGTTACTCGATTGTCCCACTAAATTGTCTTTCACTTATTATTAGTTGCTCCACTAGTTAATTAGACAAGATAGAGAAAACGAGACATTATTGATTTTATGCTCTTGTTCTTTTCATTTCGAAATTTCTAAATTTGTAGAGTAATTTTGTTAAATTGGCTGTACATAGCAAAGTAGGACCTTACAAGAAATATTAGTTTTGCTTAATTGAATTATGACAAAATTTTGGTTTAGTTACTCATACAGTCATACATTTAGGCATGTGAGATAATTCTAATATAATTATATATCATAGTTTTTCTTACTTGAAGGTGAATGTGCATGAGGCCATGACACTTATGAGAAAAGCATTAGTGATTTTGCTGAAAATTCTATGGTTGTCATTTGAAATACGACATTCATAATTTTTAAAAATGGACGGTAAGCATAATTTGGCAAATGAGTGCAGGATCAAGTTATTTAGTTTTATTAAAATATAGTTTTTTCGTTTTAGTTGCTGTTGTAGAAAAAAATTCAAAATTCAAAATTCTATAAATCTGAACCGTCCATTTTTAAAATTATTGTTGTCATTTTGTAAAAGACAACCATAGAATCATCAGTGATTTTGCAAAATATAAAGATATGTAGTTTATTGAATAGAATTTTTGTTTGGTAGATTCGATTTATTGTTGAAATGAATTGTATATAAAGGCCTAAAGTTCATAAATGTCACGTGTCATTGACGATCATGGCTGGTTTCACCGAAGTAGAAGTATGTATTTTTTTTTTTTTTTTTTTTTTGTATTACCTTCAATTTAAGGAACACTTTTAGTATCTTACAAAAATTAGTATGTGATTCTAATAATAAAGTAAACTAAAATAGACTATAAATTAGGATGACCTGGTTAAGCATGAGAAAAAAAACATAATCTCTTAAATCGTAGTTAATATATTGTTTAAAACATAAAGAATACTTCAATTTAACTTGACACGAAATATTTGGTTCTAATTGTATTAAATTGGACCCCCGAAATCGATAAAAACTTTGATTATGGGACTATATTATTACTTGGTCTAACCTAGACCACTTGATTTGGTTCAGTCTATTTTCCAATGCATATTGAAATGTGATTACTTAGCCCCTCGTCAATTGTTCTTTCAATAAATTGATTTCCACAAGCCAAAAGTGGAACTTAATGATACAAAAATATGATACTTATGGCAGAGCATAATACTTTTGATAGATTGACACATATAAATTTGTAAGTTTTACCTCGTCCTGATTATGGCACCGAAGTTAACTTATACATACCAAACATTATGAGGCAATATGATATTACTAAGCATAAAAGGCAACCTATATCCGAGTATTAGGAAGTATAAATGTGTTATTCTTAGTGGTAAAGATACATACACTATATTACTATGTACTTCTATAGCTTTGGGTTTTGCAGGCAATGATGAAACAAATGCACTTTGGGCCTTTGGGGGTGAATAAGGGACCTTTCCCCCAATTTTGGTCGGGTTGACTAGTGTGAGGTTTCAACCCATTAAAATGCCTTTTTCCCACCTATAAAAAACGAAACAAATGCACTTGGCTTGGTGTTTGTTGTCAAATCCAACGATTCACATGAATGAACTGGGGTAAGCACTTTCGGTCTCCTCAAGCATGTTTGGGCTTGTAGCACTTAAGATTGCGCATATGCCCAGGTAACACGAAAATGGCATGACCTTGCACGAAACTGCCACAAGTTCTGCATGACATCTGGCATGCCGGTGACTCGTAACACGAGCAATGCATGGACATCGTTATCAAATTTTGGCACAAGCTCGACACAAGTACATTAAATCAACATGTTTAATAAGTTAATATTGATCAATTTCCAAAAAAAAGTACTGAATTCTTATATTTGGAGTAAAAATTAGGCCAAATTAGAAAATAACACCCAATAAAAACCCCGATTTTGATAATAACACCTTTAAAAAGAAAGTTTTATTATAACACCACCAAAAATCCCAAAATTTTGGTTTCACCACCCACTAACGGATTTTTGGATGGAAACCGTTAGTGGGGCCCACAAGGGACACGTGTCAGTTGTTTATTGGTTTAAAAAAAAAGAAAAATACAAAAAAAAAGAGAAAAACCCCTAAACCCTAACCCAGCCACCGGCGGCCGTGACTCCACCGCCGGAGACCCCCAGTGCTGCCGGAACCCTTTCCTTCACCGGCGAAATCACTGGCCATCAACCCCACCCACCACAGCCCCTCCTTTACCGTCGAAACCACAATCCCTTCACCGACGAAAAGGAAAAGTCGCCACCACCACCTCTTTTTCCCAATCTCCGTCGAAACCACACCAGCCACCAACAATCCTTTTCACTGGTTTTAGGTTCGTGGTTTCGTGTCGCCAACAAGGGGTGAGGTCGCAACTGGATCTGGCAGGGCTGCTGGTGGAATTGGGTGTGGTTTTCTCCGGCTGGTGGGTTGGGGCTGGTGATAGGGCTTGGATTTCGACGCTTCGGCAGTTGCTGTGGTGATAGGGTTGTTGCTGTGGTGATGGGGCGACGGTGGTGGTGATGTTGCGCTGGTGAAGGAAGGTGTTCCGATGGCAATGGGGGTCTCCGGCGGTGGAATGACGGCCGTGGGTGGTGGGGCGGGTGGCTGGGTTAGGGTTTAGGGGTTTTCCTTTTTTTTTTTTTAATTTTACTTTTTATTTTTATTTATCTTTTTTTTAAACCAATACCTTATTGACACGTGTCCCTAGTGGGCCCCACTAATGGTTTCCATCCAAAAATCCGTTAGTGGGTGGTGAAACAAAAATTTTGGGATTTTTGGTGGTGTTATAATAAAACTTTTTTTTTTACAGGTATTATTATCAAAATCGGAGTTTTTATTGGGTGTTATTTTCAAGGTAGCATGCTTGAAGGTCATAGTCTGACATAGTCAACATGTATGCATGAACTCTACTTATAAAATACCACTCTGAACCCATCTCGAAATAATAATTAGTTTTTTTTTAAAGGTAATAAGAATGTTCTTGACCTTACTTCAATGCTCATGGTTTTTTTGATTCGGTATTTGCGGGTTAAACACTTTGAGAGTGAGAGAGGAAAGGTACAGAATCCCCACCCGAAATAATTATTGGTCGACTATAATTCTGTAACCATAGACTACTTGAACACGAGGCATGATACATAGGCCCTGCACAGTTTGACCCGTCCCGTACCCATAACACCGGGAAACTGGTAGCACGTGACATAACACTAACCCCGTATCAAAACTCAACTCAAAGAACACGAACCGTATTCTATGCTCTTTACTGTAATAGATAAATCAATCGTACACATTGCAAGGTGCTTTGATTTTAGGGTTGCAGAGATTGATCTCCTTCCGAACACTTAATTCGATTTCGGAATGTCCAATCTCTGTTAAATCTTCTTCTGATTATCTGACTTTTTTTTCAGCGCAACTACAATCTAGTAATCTACTATAGTACTGTCAACTCTTTCTTCCATTGCTTTCCGAGCGATTTCTCAAATTTCTCAAGGTTAGTTTTTTATCCTGTTTTTTGGTTCAATTTATAATTTTGATATGAACCCATCTTTTATTACATAGTTTTGCATTAGTTTTTATCTTTGTTCGATTTGCTATTGTTATTTGTTGTTTCAATTTGATGATTCAATAGTGATGGGGTTGTTGGTTTTATTTTGGAGTATATGGGATCGAAAGTTGAAGAGTTTCGAGCTAATTGGATTGAATTTATTGAATTTTATGGAGTAGGGTTTTTAAATTTTTGTTGTTGATGTAGCAATGCAATCCCAGTATTTGATTTTCTTCAGGGTCTCTTCTATATGTTAGATAGATTAGCTTGATGTGTTTAAAGATTCAGTCTTTAGAATGATTTTCGCATCATGTCTTGTTTAGATGTTAATTTTGTGTAATGTATTTTTTCCACATGCAGTGGATTGAGAATTTGACTTGGATTTCTATCGAGATGCCGAAATTTTGTATGGGAGGGAAAGTAGTTGATGGAATTGACTTGTTGAAGAAGAAGCAAAAGCTATGGCGACTCGACGTTTGGCCGTTTGCCATCCTTTATGCTCTTTGGTTGGCGTTGATTGTTCCTAGCTTAGATATAACCGATGCCTTGATAGTTCTTGGCGGTCTTATCACCTTTCACATCTTGATCCTGCTTTTCACAGCTTGGTCTGTGGATTTCAAATGCCTTGTACAATATAACAAGGTACGTGGCTGTTTTATACTGTTGTCTAGAAGTATGTTGCCTCAGTTAATAATTATGATTTTATTTTTCTTTTGTAATTTCTGTATGGTATTTGTTCCCATTGACACCCCTAACTTAATCAAGTTTCTCAAAATGAATCAAAAAGTGGCATTGTTTATCAAAATGAATCAAGTTTCTCAAAATGAATCAAGTTTCTGAAGTCTTAAGACTCTTAACTGTACCCAATAACAGCTTATGTTCAGAATATGTTTATCAAAGGTCATTAGTTTGAATATAGAGATGTTTATTGCGGATTAGGGGGTAATATATAAGCAGTATAAGTTCCCCAATACGCCAATACGCGAGGCCTTTGTTGACCGGCTTAACATTCATATTGTATATGCTGAGGGGTGTATACGAGTGTAGGCATATACGGTACTTGTAAACAGAAAGCATAAACGATCAAAATGGGAGTGGGGCTCGTAAATAACATGTGGTTATTAATGGTGCACATCAGAAATCCTTTGAGGGGCTGTTTTGTAGATCCTGCTGGCATGTTTCGCTCCCAGCAGTCATCTACTTAAAAGCTATTGTGTGTATCAATGTTGAGGTGTGGCAGTGGGATCCTTTATCAAAAACGCAGTTGTCATTTTATGTTCTGCAGGTTGACGATATCCACCAAGCAGATTTCTGCAAAATCACTCCCGCGAAGTTCTGTGGCTCAAAAGAAATTGTTTCGCTTAAGTTCCGTAAACAAGTAAGTTCCAAATTTTTCCTGGTTTTGGAAGGTTTATAGATTTATTAATTGTTACAATTACCTTTGTATTGCTGTTCATAAGATGTCTAATTATTTCAGGTTTTGGGTTTCTTAGCTTTGTCTACATTAATTACTTAATTAGTGTTGCTTACTCCTATTTTACTGTGAGGGATCAAACTTAAGTTACTGAAAATTACGTGAGATCATGGGTGATTCTGTATTTGTAGGACAGTGAAGACTTGATGAAATTTTATCATTTTGAACCCACTCTTGTAATATTTGAGGACACTATTTTTTGGAAAACTTCATGTGTGTGTTTTAGCTGGAGGCCTTGATTTTCTTCTTTCTCACCTATATGCTTAGTAGGGTCCGTTTGAGATGGCTTTGTGCCTAAGCCTTGCTCTTCCTCTGTAATTCTTTGTCCTTAATCATTTTCTACTAACCTACTGCAAACAAGAAAAGAAATAGTAGGGATCAAGGACACTATTACTTTGGCTCTAAGTGGTTGGGTTGGCAAATTGAAAAGGGGGCCTAAGGTACTATTTCAATATGGAGCTTGAGAAAGCCAATTAAGAGATTGCTTGTAGGTTGACTTGAGGTTATTGATTGAAGTGGTACATAATTATGAGTTATCCTGCTCTTATTTTTACTGTGGCGGAGGATATTGTTTTCTTGTACATCAAAAATTTGGGATGAAAAATGATATGATTCATGGAAATCTTCATTGAGATCTTTAGTTCTACTTTTAATTTGATGTTTGCTGATCATACATTCCTACCATCTTCCATGTGTCCTCATAGGTATAGGATTGAGCCTGTAGAGTTTGGGTGTTTTTCCAAAAGCTGTCTTGATGCTTAAGGGTTAAGTTGGGAAATGATTCTGTGCAACTTAGATTTTTTTAAAAATAGTGCAATTGTGAGGATATCATCTTTGATGGGGATGTAAACCTCCTTAAGATGTTTACTTACACAGTGACTTGGGCTTCGCTGGGAGGCTTTCAAGAACCTAGTCTATACAGGTTGTTCTCTGGCAAGGGTCTGCATAAAGCTAGATGGTAGAGAGAGTCTTTTTTACTGTATGCCATTGCTCTTATATAGTCCTATTTTGTATGACAGTGCTGCTGTTTAGTGTTCTTAGACGGTTGGCATGTGCTGGATAAGATCATACAATTATTTGATAGATGTATAGCCCTCCTATTGTACATGGGCGATCTACTGACCACTGACAAGTCTTGATGGCATATTAACCTAACCTTATTTAATGTTGTTTACACTGGACTGAATGCAATGCTTTGATGTATTTGAAAACTTTTATGCTCCTCCCTTGGGAATTCATTTTGGAGGTTTGTTTCCTTGCTCATGTACAAAATTAGATTGAAGGATTAAAGTCTTGCTTTCAGGAGGTTTTTTGTGGGCAACCCTTTCTCTCCTCTGTCGCACATTCTTGTCTTTGCTTAAGTTTTTTGTTAGGGAAGGACATTAACTCTCTAGGAACTCATAAGAATAAATTTTATTTTTCAGGGTCAGTAGGACACTTCATATGTTGTTTGGGGAAGGGGGGAGGACTTTAGGATTTTATAGTCTCTTACTCTTGGATCCTATTATACCCTGATCCAGATAGTTCCAATTCCATAGTATATCAGACTTCTGGGCAGTATGTTTCTATTTTCTGTGCAGTAATGATGATCAATAACAAGTAACTTGATTCACCCCTTGCAGGCAGGTTCCACTGAGGATGAAGAAATTTACTTTGATTTTAGAAAGCAAAGGTTTATCTATTCAAAGGAAAAGGAAACATTTTACAAGCTTCCTTTCCCAACTAAAGAAACATTTGGATACTATCTCAAAAATACTGGACATGGCTCTGAAGCTAAAGTGGTTGCTGCTACAGAAAAATGGGGACGCAATGTGTAAGTTTTTCTTGCACAATATGTCTCAAATCTGAATGGTTATATTTTTGAATAATGTATTTGCTACACGACCACTGTCATTATTATTACCTTGACTTGCATGACCAATGTGTGTGGCTCTTGCTGCTACTTGCTTGTAAGAATACTTTTAGGTATCCTTTTACTTGTAAAATTGTAATATATGCTGATCTCATTGTATTAGTTATTCTCAGCGTCCCCATTGATTTTACCTAGTACTTCCAACTATTTGGCTTTCTTGTAAAGTGTTTTTTTTATGCTCTTTAGACGTAAGCTATGAGTTGGATTTTCTGATGTTAGGGTTTTCTAAATTCGTAGTATATGCTTGTTCTTTTATTTCAATATAATTGCTTTGCTGAAGATTCTTTTATATTGACCTCCTCATATCTCTGAAGGGATAAGACACTGCATTTGTTTTTCAGCAGATCTAGTGTAAGTAGAAGCACCCTTTGTTTGCTATACACTCATACTGATTAGGCAAAAGTACTCTGGTGTTTAAATCAAGAAATGGAAAATTGATATATTTTTTTTCTAATTCTGTTTCAAATTACAAAAATAAGGATGATATATATTTTTTTTTCCTGATTCCTTTTCCATTTTGTAAATGGTGCTGCAGATTTGAGTACCCCCAACCAACTTTTCAGAAACTAATGAAAGAGCACTGCATGGAGCCCTTTTTTGTTTTCCAGGTTTGCTTCTTCTGACACACTTTTTTTGAGTGTGTGATTTCTTTCTAATTGTAGGCCTTTCCTGCTCCTGTTTGTTATTAACTTCAAATTTCAGTTATATAATTACCTTGTATATGATTTTGAGTTGGATTTTTTCTGTGTTTAGGTCTTCTGTGTAGGTCTCTGGTGTTTAGACGAGTATTGGTATTACAGTTTGTTCACCTTGTTCATGCTGTTCATGTTTGAGTCAACTATGGCGAAAACCCGTTTAAAAACTTTGACGGAGCTTAGACGTGTACGAGTTGATAGCCAAACACTAATGGTGCATCGTTGTGGCAAGTGGGTGATTATATACTGTTTCAGTTTGTTTATTGGATTTAGAATTTTGTTTCTGATGGTGAATTGATGATGAATTGCAGGTGGGTGAAGCTTTCTGGAACAGATCTTCTTCCCGGGGATGTTATTTCTATTGGACGCTCATCTGGTCAAAATGGCGAAGATAAGTCTGTACCAGCAGATATGCTATTATTAGCTGGAAGTGCTATTGTCAATGAGGCCATTCTCACAGGCGAGTCTACTCCTCAGTGGAAGGTGCTTCTTCTCCCTTTGCATTTCATTTTAAGTTTGCGTTAGTAAATTTTTTAGTGTATGGGCTTCTGCAGAGTTTTGTTGCATTCAGTTATAATGGAATCTTATTCAGACATGTTAATGTTGGTAGATAATTTTTTAATCTTTAATTCTTTTTAATGTTGTCTTTTTAAAAAAACAGGTAAGTCAGAACCCACCACTGAGGGATGGGAGGGTTGAGAGGAATCCCTGAGTTGAGCCCCTCAAGTATTAATGTTGTTGTTGGGGTTGATTTTGAAAGGGCTCATTACTCTCCTCCTCCTGATTCCCGGATCTATAGCTGTACCTAGCTTTTCTCTATGTTTATATTGCGTGAAATCAAAGGATCATACTAATTTTTTCTACATCTAAATGAAATAGAAAACCTAACATAATACTATTATTAGAAGCTCAATTGTAGCATTGCCATCGCATTATACATCAAGTGACTGAGATGTATTTGTTTGTGAACTAAAGAGCTGGATTTTAATATAGTGATTTTTTAAACTTGGAATTTTGTAGGTGTCCACCACAGGCAGATCTGCTGAGGAGATGCTTTCAATTAAAAGAGATAAAAGCCATGTGCTTTTCGGTGGTACAAAAATATTGCAGCACACTCCAGATAAGGTAGTTTTTATCGATCAAACTGGTATATTACTAATATTATTTCGCTCAAACTTTTCTTCACTAATATGCTGTAATATATCAGTCTTTTCCTCTGAAAACCCCTGATGGTGGCTGTGTAGCTGTTGTCTTACGAACTGGTTTTGAGACAAGTCAAGGGAAATTGATGCGCACGATATTATTTTCTACTGAGAGAGTATGTAATCTTCTTGTCTATTACTGTTTCCTTGTTGGTACACTTGATGCAATCTTCTCACATACCATTTTGTATCAGGTTACAGCGAACAGTTGGGAAAGTGGATTGTTCATCTTATTCTTGGTTGTATTTGCAGTTATCGCTGCAGGTTATGTACTGATGAAGGCAAGTACATGTTTACATAGTTTAACACTGTTTAATTTGTGTGCATTTCAACACTTTTTAGCTCGTATGACTATGCTTCCTATAACCAGAGTGTTTTTTGTAGGGACTGGAGGACCCTACCAGAAGCAGATATAAACTTATCCTTAGTTGTTCGCTGATTATCACTTCTGTTATACCCCCTGAACTTCCTATGGAATTATCTATAGCTGTCAATACTTCCCTTATAGCTTTAGCTAGACGTGGAATATTTTGCACAGAACCATTCCGAATTCCATTTGCTGGGAAGGTGAGTGGCTTTTCCTTCTAAAGGCCTTCAAAAAAAATTTCTACTTGAAATGTCATTATATACTTGAAGAGTTGAGGTTTATGTTATATATTTCTCTTGGATGGGAGGTATGGTTATATGCTGGATTGATTTATAAAACTTGCTTAAGACTTTGTGATACCCCCGAGCCTAGAGACCCTGATAGGAAACCCCTTCTTTTTTATTTTGGTTTTTGATGTCAATAATATTTTGGTATCAGTTTCTCCAAAACACAAACTACATTTGAACTTATATCCCAATGGATTCACCAAGCTCTAAGTTATGTTTAATAGCTTAAGGCAGCTTGGTCCATTGTTCCATGTGTTGCAGTACATATCTGAATTTATTGGTGTTGTACATTATGGTTAGCATATTAGCCTATGATAGAACAGGCATCAACATATTCTCTTCTTTGCTAGTATTCTGAGCTTTTCAATCACTTTATTATTTGCAGGTTGATATATGTTGCTTTGACAAGACAGGAACCCTGACTTCAGATGATATGGTGTGTCTTATATTTGCTTTGTTGACGAGTCAACTTGAGCCCAAGATTCTTTCAACTCCTTTCTTTAATATTTTTCTTGTTGCCTTTAGGAATTCTCAGGTGTGGTCGGATCCACAGAAAGTTTGGAATTAGAGACAGATATGAAAAAAGTACCAGGTCGAACTCTGGAGATTCTTGCTTCTTGTCACGCCTTAGTCTTTGTTGACAACAAGCTGGTATGCTTTACTTTTCAGTTAGTCGTCAAAATTATTTGCTCGTATGGTCCAACTTTTAATATCTTCATTGGTTAATTTTTCTTGTCTAGGTTGGTGATCCTCTTGAGAAAGCTGCACTGAAAGGAATTGACTGGTCCTACAAATCTGACGAGAAGGCAATGCCTAAAAAGTAAGAGATGGCATTAGTGTCAAGTATTCTTTCATCTACACACTTAAATACCCTTTATCAGTCCTGTGGCTTTTCTTACTCCGTGCTTTAGGGTGCCATCATTCCAAAAATAATTTGCGCCAAAGACATTTCACCGAAACTTCCCCCCCCCCCCTCCCCCCTCCCCCTCCTTCCCCTTTTTACTTCAGTGCCTTGTACTTACATGGAGCATTAAGGACTGTCATAATTATAAATGTCCATGTACAGATTGCCTGTTGCTCTAGTTGATTGGAATTTGATCGGTCTTATGGTTTTGGTCATGTATATATACAACTCTGTTTTGTTAATGACCATCACCACAACCTGTAGAGGCGTAGATTGTAGTATGAACCATCCTATTAAGGGAAGGTTTGGGGAGATTCATATTTATACCATGTCAAGTAATTAACAAATAAAGAGGCACTTTTTGTAATACCAACTCTTTTTAGGTTATGTATTAATGTCTAGTACAAAAGCTTTGCCATAATTAGTACTTTGTATATTCAATCATCCAAACAGCATCTATTTTGTTGCTCCCTCTGTTATTTGTTTGGAAAATTAGAAAGTATTAAGCCGTTAAGGCTATGTACCTCAACTTGTTTCAGGTCCTCATACTTAACTGACACACATCAGTTATCAAACTACACCGCGCCAGAAAAAGATTACATCAGACCGCACCAGATCCTCACTCTAATACAAATTTTGTTTTTTCTGTGAGATCTGTATGTGTTGCAACTTGCATGATAAGATCGCAAAGGCTATGTAAATATTGAGTACTTGTGAACTGATGTGTTTGTTTGATCTATCATTTTTGTAGGGGTAATGGAAATCCCGTGCAAATCGTTCAACGACATCACTTCGCATCTCACTTAAAACGAATGGCAGTGGTTGTACGTGTTGATGAGAATTTTTTATCATTTGTGAAGGTTTGTCTCTGCACATCTTTCCTTCAGATTTTTCATTGGTAAACCATGAACTAATATGTACTGTATGTAATTAGCTGTGTATAACAAAATACAGATGGTGTATCTGCTTCAATTAAGATGGAAGTCATGGAACCATTAAAAAAATAAAAAATAACAAATGCAAATGCTGGAGGCCAGGCATTTTATTGTGCTACAATTTCATTACCTTTGTGTGTCTCCCCTTGCGCATGTGTTCTTTTCTTTGCATAACCTCAGATAGCCCTGATGTCTTTTCATAGTTCCTTTGTCAATATGGAAGTCTGTATAATACGTGGATTTTAAGCATGTTTAGAACAATCCTATTCTTTCTCTGCAGAACGTTATGTTTAATGTATATGTCCTCTGTTGATTTGTTTTTCATATAATGAATCTTGGCTGTAGAGTAGTTGATTATTGTGCAATAATGTAAAATATGTTTGGCTTAGACTCCATGTGTATCACTTTTTATGATCCAGGGTGCACCTGAAACTATTCAAGATAGACTCATAAACCTGCCATCCTCATATGTCGAAACCTACAAAAAATATACACGTCAAGGATCCAGGGTCTTGGCCCTGGCATACAAACCCCTTCCAGAGATGACAGTAAGATTTCTTCCATTGTATTTCATCAGTTCTAATCATGAAAAGCAAAGTTTGTTATCCGCTTTATGTACTCTGTGCTGTATGGATTGGTGTATTTGTCTTAATTATTGTTTGACGTGTTTGGCTGCCTGAAGGTTAGTGAAGCCAGAAGCCTGGATCGAGATGTGGTGGAAAGGGACCTAACATTTGCTGGTTTTGCGGTAGGCTCTACTACTGTACATTATTGTCTTATCATTTTTTTCTCTTGGTATCCTTAAATTTTATTCTAATTTCAGGTTTTTAATTGCCCTATCCGCCATGACTCAGCCTCTGTATTGGCTGAACTAAAAGGATCCTCGCATGATCTGGTAAGGAAGTCAATGTCTTAGTTCACTTGTTTTCAGACCTTCACTTTAGATAGTTCCTGCCTTGTGTCAATTTTTTTTAGCCCATCATTATTTCCTGTTGATTAATTGTTGACTTCAGCAATAATTGCATAAATTTTTTTGTATAGTGTAAAGTGGGAATGACTTCTGCCATAATTTGAAAGGGAATTTTTTTTTTTTGAAAAGTATTCTATATCCTTTCATGTAATACTTTATTCAATTATCATGTAATGAGAAAGAGTGTATGAAGCATAGCAGCTATTAATCTCTTCCAAGTTAATCTTTTACTTCTGCCATTCATTATATAGATTTGTGGCACTTCTAAAGTTCTATTTTATTGTAAGCAATTTGACAAATGTGTAAGCCATTCTTGAAATAGAAAACCGACATAGAAAAGCGGATTGTGTGTATTTAGCTGGAAAACTATCATAATTCATATGATCCTGCTGCATCTTCATGTAATCACTAATTGTGACTTATCTATGAATTTCTATTTCCACTTGTACATAACTATATTGCTTCTGACTCTTGATCAATGACTTGTGTTGCCTTTTACACTTTGGGGAATCCTTGCAGGTGATGATCACTGGTGATCAAGCATTAACTGCTTGCCATGTTGCTGGTCAAGTGCATATTATTTCCAGACCAGCATTAATTCTATCTGCTGTTAAGGGTAGTGACAGATATGACTGGGTTTCACCAGATGAAACTGAGACCATACCTTTCAAGTAAAGCCCGACTAATTCTCCTCACACCCTTCCCTATTTATAGCTACATGTACATATGCATTTATTTGATATACAAGCATTTTCACCATTGAAAATGTTGCCTATTTCCTCATGCTTCTTTTCCATCTACTTTTCTTTTATTTGTTTTGATAAACTAGACCTTTTTTTTCAGTGCAAAAGAGGTTGAGGCTTTGGCTGACTCACATGATCTTTGTATTGGTGGTGATTGCTTTGAGATGCTGCAGCGGACATCGGCTGTTCTGCTAGTTGTGCCTTTTGTTAAGGTTTGTGAATTCCAATGTTTGAGTGTTGTTTGGAGAATAAATTTAATGCATTTTAACTTATTTCTGTCAATAAATCAGGTTTTTGCTAGGGTTGCTCCTGAACAGAAAGAGCTTATTTTGACCACACTAAAAACTGTGGGAAGGATGACACTAATGTGTGGTGATGGTACAAATGATGTTGGAGCTCTCAAGCAGGTAATATTTTGTAAAATAAATGTCTGATCTTCATTTCTGCTGCCTATGATCTTTCATCCTTTTTGCTTCTTTAGAATATTTCATGTATTTTGGGGCATTTGTGAGTTATTTTGTGGAAAAGAATTTCCTTTTTTACTTTTGATATATTCAGCCATTATGCGACATTCTAGTTGGTAACCTTTTGGGGTTCTGTTTCTTCTTCCTTTTTTTTTCTTTTCAAAAAGATCATTTTGAAGGGTCCAAGTGGGAACTCATATAATCCAATCATTTTTTTGTTAGAGCTGCATTTTGGATTGACAATGGCCTAAGACCTATGCGTCTTTTCATGAAGCAAACTTGATCTAGTTATCTTTTCAAAAAGATCATTTTGTAGGGTCCAAGTGGGAACTCATATAATCCAATCATTTTTTTGTTAGAGCTGCATTTTGGATTGACAATGGCCTAAGACCTATGCGTCTTTTCATGAAGCAAACTTGATCTAGTTATTAATCTCTGTAAGCTAGTTTCATTTGGTTTCACACTCAACAGTATGTTCAATTTTTGTGTTAAATTTATATAAACTTATCTGAACTTAACACTTATTAGAACTTATTGTGGTTGTGATTGAACTTGGATAACCCTTGTTGGCGCTAAATTTAACTCATCAGCCCTTTTTGAAATTATTGGCCCTGCTTTTATCTGTGAAATTATCTTGAGCTATCTGAACCTAGTTTTCCTGAAATAAGGTGACAAGAACAAAACCTCAAGGTGCCTTTATAGCTCCAAGCTTCCCACATGAAGTTTGCTTTAATAATCTTGATTTATTGTTATGTTATTAGGCACATGTTGGGGTGGCTTTGCTAAATGCTGTGCCCGAAGATTCCTCCGTAACTGCAAAAAATGAAACTACTGCATCCAAGTCCAAGAAGCCAAAGGTTGCTTCTGAGGATAAGAAAGCTGTCAATGTTAGTGGTGAAGGCTCTTCAAAAAAGAAATCTGCTTCAAAATCTGAATCCTCTACCCAAGCAGCTGGCAATAAGCATCTGACTGCTGTTGAGTTGCAGAAGCAGAAGCTAGAGAAAATGTTAGAAGAGATGAATGACGATGGTGATGGTCGTTCAGCCCCCATTGTGAAGCTAGGGGATGCCTCGATGGCCTCACCTTTTACTGCAAAGCATGCATCAGTAGCCCCAACCACAGATATTATTCGTCAGGGTCGGAGTACTCTTGTTACCACACTTCAGATGTTTAAGATCCTTGGTCTTAACTGCCTTGCTACTGCCTATGTGCTCAGTGTCATGAACTTGGATGGTGTCAAGCTTGGTGATGTCCAAGCAACTATTAGTGGGGTTTTTACTGCTGCTTTTTTCCTATTCATCTCCCATGCTCGCCCGCTTCAAACACTCTCGGCTGATCGACCCCACCCTAATATATTCTGCTGCTATGTTTTTCTCTCTCTACTTGGACAGTTTTCTGTCCATCTGTTCTACTTGATTAGTTCCGTGAAGGAGGCTGAGAAATACATGCCTGATGAGTGTATTGAACCAGACTCTGATTTCCATCCAAATCTGGTAAATACAGTTTCATACATGGTTGGAATGATGTTGCAGGTTGCCACTTTTGCAGTGAATTATATGGGGCATCCTTTCAACCAGAGCATTACAGAAAACAAGCCCTTCCTATACGCTCTTGTGTCAGCAGTCGGATTTTTCGTTGTCATCACATCTGATCTGTTCAGGGACCTCAATGACTGGCTAAAATTGGTGCCCATGCCAAAACCTTTGAGGAATAAGCTGTTGATTTGGGCTTTGTCTATGTTCTTGATTTGCTATTTCTGGGAAAAGTTTTTGAGATGGATATTCCCTGGAAAAATGCCCGCATGGAGGAAACGCCAACAACAAGCTGTGGCTAACTTGGAGAAGAAGAAAAATGAGTAAATTTCAGACGGTCACAGATGAAATTCCTCTCTTCAATGCTTGAGCCTCACTTGCCTGCTGCTGCCATACATCGATGGAGCAAAAAGGAGCCAGCTTACGTGCAGCTACATAACGTGTTTGAAATGTATTTCATGTTGGCTGTTGTTGGGCATTTTTGTTAGGACATGCTTCCCTATTCTTTTGTAACGATTAGAGATGTTTATTATGATAATTATGGTCTTTAGTAGCCATAGTGATAGCGGTTCTTATATTTATGCCTGGGAAGGTTTTTTATGTTTTCTTAAGCTGAATACCAGTTTACAACTCATAAGATTATATGAAGTTATACCACTATTTTTTCATTCAATTGCATTCTAAACTTTTTGCTGTGGTCTATTGGAAATTCAAAGGCTGTAATGTCCTATAATCTGGTCCCAAGCTTATTACATGGTCAGCATTGAGGCAGAGAATTGGGAACGCTTGGGTCTGATTTTTTGGTCCCTTCCCTTCCTCTTGTCACGACTCACGAGTAGCAGTCTGATGTTCTAATCTACAGGCACTGCTTCTGTCCTGATATGCACCGCGTCTAGAAATTTCTTAGTTGTAATACAGCAGTCTGATGTTCTAATCTACAGCCACCGCGTCTAGAATTTTCTTAGTTGTAATATTAACTCGTAATGTGACAAGTAAAGGCAGACAGAGCTAAAGGCTAGTATCATCTTGCTTGGATTGTACTGTATATTCTCTTAACCTTGAAAGTGAAACAATTCTGTTAATTGAAAATGATTACATACATTATTATTAGCTGCTATGCAATGAAATGCAAAAGAATCGACTGGTTTGCTCATCAGTTCTGCTTATTCGAAATTGATGTGTTCTGCTCATTCAAAATTGATGTGTTCTTGACTTGGCAATTAACACTGGATTCCTATGTACAGAATGTTCTGATTCGAATATTCTTGTTTCCGCACTGAATCATTGTCATGGTCATTAGTCGTAACTGTCCACTGGATATTAAGATTAACATGAGGTTCAGGATCCATTCGAGCATAATGTGCTTGATAAGTAATCTTTTCCCCATTTCTAATTGCAACATAAATCTCTACCAGTTAAATATTGTGCAAGAAAGTAGTGCATTGACAAAGTACGAATTGGAAGAAGTTGTAAATATATAATTGTTAGGGACAAAGCTATTATTATAGAGTACAATGCTCAACATTCCCATTTCATTCAAACATCCGAAAAGACATCAACGAACTTAAGAAGGGGAAAAAAAAAAAACAATAAGTGTTTTCAACAAGAAATAAAACATCGAGTTCTAACTACACTTGATCATCAATATAATGCACAAAACATTCTTGATTTTAAATTTAGTAGCCTGCAGGCTTGTAGGCAATGAAACTGATGCATTGCACTTGACGGTAGCTGTCGAATCCAATGATTCTGATGAAGGCGTTGGGGTAAGCCTTCTTGGCTTCCTCGAGCTCGTTAACAACCTGGGTCGGGTCAGTGCAACCGAACATAGGCAACTTCCACATGGTCCAATATCGCCCATCATAGTATCCTGGTGACCTGTGGTTCTCACGGTACACAAATCCGTGCTACAAAAAATTAAAACATAAAATGTGTTAGCTATGTACATACGTAAATATGATATTTACCTATAGAAAATGTTAGCAATTAATATGAAACTTACCTCAAGCTCGAATTCTAAGCAAGGAACCCAACCCTTGTTAAGAAGGTATTGAACTTCACTAAGCAAAGACTCAGTGGTGAGTGGTGGAAGGTAAGACAAGGTCTCGAACTTCTTCTTGCCAACTGGTGGCCATACCTGCAATTTATTCAACAATTCCAATTAATTAAATGAATTTTTTATTTCTTATTTAATTTTTTATAAATGAAAAAAATGAAGGTATAAATGTGTTAGTCTTTTCACTTAGTAGTTTAATCCTAGCATGATTTTTCGTCTCTAATTGCATTTCAGACAAATAACATTAATTTCATAATACTCCAATTTCACCAAATATCATTAATCATTTACAAAGCCTAGACTTATTTTAATTTTTAAAGTTATAGATCCCCAAAAAAAATCAACTAATTTTATACTCTATACTCTATATCAAATAAACATGAAGCGGAGTGAAAATATACACTATAATCCTAGATAAGCGAGTTTATCCTAAAATTGTCAATTTATATATCCAAATCAACTAATTTTCGAATTAATGTATGACAATTAAAATACAAATACATTGTCCGTGACTTATAACTTAAAAATAAAAAAAGCAATATAATATATCTAACTACCCTGTAATTTAAAACCCAAATAAACAATTTCTTAATTTATAGTACTTGTTCATATTAGTACTTTAGTAGTAGTAGTAGTAGTAGTATACCTGCATGCATTGGACTCTTCCACCGTTGCTAGCAAGGGAGGTAATGTCATCATTCTTCTTGGTGACGGGGAAGGCAACGGTTGACTTCAAGCCGTTGAAAGGAGCCACCATGCTGGCTTGAGCCGGGGCACGGACGGCGGCAACTGCGGTGGATGAGATAACGGAGGAAGCCATTTTGTAACACTAATTCACTACTCTTTTACTTACTACTATTACAAATTCTTTTTCTTGTTACAACCTTACTATATATAAAGGCCTTAAACTTCTTCAATGTGTTATTTTTAACAAGTGGATATGATTTTAGGATAATTTAATCTTGACCGTTGATTCTGTTAGGTGTTGATATTACACTTTAGCTACCACACACCAGGGAGTAATTTCATTTTTTTTTTTTTCAATTTTTTGAATTTTGATTTTTAATTACTTGATTACTAAGCACCATGGATTGATGCCACGTGGCAAAACCCAAATCTTATCTCTTCTTTACAAAAAATAGATGATAAGAAAAAAAATGTGTGATGGTTGTGAATTCATGAGATCCTAACTTTATCTTTAATTTGTTGAGATGTGGTATGATGTAATATATGGTTTATTTCTACCCATTTTAGCAAGGAATTTTAGACCATACCTTTTTTCAGAAAATTTATTGGATTTTTCTTATGTGTAAACATCACCTTTTCAATTTGATGTTTATGATGACTTTTGACGAATTAATATGATTGGTTATCAATGCCTAATGTAGGACATTATTCATCATTATTAATGCTTAATGTTTAACGATTACGCAATGTAATTTTTTTTTCAAATATTTTAGAAAAATCAAGTTCAAAAAGAAAAACACTTCAAAAATTATAACTTTGGGAGCATTAAAAATTATTTACAACTAAAATTAATTTTAATAAGGTCAGATATTAGTAAAAATTGGATGAATAAAGCACATTATTATCATATGTTGTGTAAAGCGGAGAATATTATACAAATAAAGAAATGATATTGTATGTTTTACTAAAGTGTAAGCTACAATTCCAAGAAGTTATAAAAGCATCTTTGTCCAAGTAATCACTGCAATCTTTGTGAAACTTTTATTTTTGATGAGATTAACCTTAGTTTTCTATCTAGCTAGGACAATATTGTAATATTAACAATGTATAGTAGCAAAAAAAAAAAGGGGGAGTAGAAGAGAAGAGTGAGCAAGTACTATAGTGTGACTAGTGAGGGGACTAGTCTGACTACATTAACAGTAAGATTGAAGCTTTATGAAACTCAATTATGATAACAATCATTGGTTTGTCAGCAAAAAAAAAAAATTACTGTATGAATTTGTTCCATGGTACGGAAAGAATTTCTTGAATCCAGACCATTAATTAGCTTAATTTAGATTATATGTAGATAAATTTAGGTCATTTTCTACATTTAATTTTCCACTCTTGCTAAGGTTGTTTTAACCTAACTAATCTTCTCACAAGTTACATGTTGAACAAAGATCTACTTGTTCCTTGTACGTACTTGTATGATTTGTTACTTTGTTTCGTAATTTTTGTGTTTTTCAGTAAGTTATATTTATTTCATCAAAATTGTCGCAATGTTATATTACCTCCGTTTATTATTATTTGCAACAATTGTACCTTTCACGGAGGCCAAGGCAAAAGTTTTTAAGCATGATTCTTAAAATATAAGGGCGTGTATTTAAACACTAATCCAATTATAAAAAAATAAAAAATAAAAAAAAAATAAAAAATTTATCAGAACCACTAAAACCCAGAATCACCACCACCACCGAACCCACCGTTAACCACCACCACCACCACCAAGCCCACCGTAAACCACCACCACCGAACCCACCGTAAACCACCATGAATCAGATCTGAACCCCTACAACCACCCCACGAACCAGACAAACATACAAACCCAAACCCACGAACAAGACAAACCCAGCCACCACCACGAACCCAACCCACGCCACCCCTACAAAACCAAACCCAAACCAGACCCACCCAGCCACCACCATCAACCAGACCCACGCCACCCCCACGAAACCAGACCCACCCAGCCACCACCACGAACCAGACCCACGCCACCCCACGAAACCAAACCCACGAACCCAGCCACCACCACGAAACCAGCCACGCCACCCCCACGAAACTCACGCCACCCCTAAAACCAGATCTGAAACCCCTAACACCCCCACGGACCAGAAGATTTGTTGATCTTGATGAGATCATCGAGGGACATGTTCAATCATTTTCCATTGCCATTGAAAGATGTGGTGAAGAAGAAGAAGAAAATGTAGAGGAGAGAGAAAATTGAAGGAGGAAGAAAATTGGGGAAAACCAGAGAGAGAAAGTGGAAAGATGAATGATTTTTGGTGAAAATGATTACAATAATCAGATTTATTAGGTAAAAAGTTAAATTAGGTTAGTGATCTAATTAGATGTCTAAGTTGTTTAAGTAAGGGTAATATGGGCATTTGTTGGCAAAAAGTTACTAAAAAAGAAAATAAAAAAGTTTGTTGCAAATGATAGGAAGCGCCTAATTTTAGTAAATGTTGCAAATAATAATAAATGGAGGTAGTAGATGATATGGTCAGTTGATCACTAATTATAAAAGATATTAAGCATCTCATTTGAAATTACTTTATTAAGTCCAAGTACAACATTATATATTGGTCAAGGAAAACCTAATAATAATTTAATTAATAAAGTGAATTTTAAATGTTATTCAAAATTTGATTGCATTATTCGAATCACAAATTGATACATATTCAAAATTTAAAATCATATGAATTTATCCGAAGCTCGAAGAAAAAAAAAAGAGAGAAAAAAAAAAAAAAAGGCTTACTAGCTACAATGGAAACCATTAAAGCAAAATCTTTGTATTTCTCTTCATTCACCAAAAAAAAAAAAATATCTGTATTTCTGTATGCTCTAATATTTGACAAAACAAGAACAACGGTCCAATGAAAAATCAAACAAATGAATAAATACAAGTCATTTTCTCCAACACCAACAAGAGTAAATTGGTGGTCTTACAATTAAAGAAAAGATGTGACTAGTATGTTTCAACATTATACTAAGGGTCACATTCAATAAGAATTAAGAAGGAAGTTTCTTAAAGAGTCATTGGGTTCATCAAGCCCAAAATTCAAAGGCCCAATTTATTGGATTATGCCTATTTCAAGAAAACCTTTGTGGATTTATGCAACTTTGGATTTTATAATTTGGTGGACTTGTATCTTAGTTTTGTGCTTACCATCTACCATTAAGTCACATTAGAGAAATCAAGAGGAACAACATATTACGGGTAAATGAAGCACTCTCTTAGGTTTCAAATACGAGTAATACTTTGGAGTAGACAATGTAGTATGTAGGGGTGAGCAAAAATTCAGGGTGCCCTGACGTGGAACCGGAATCTAATTGGGACCGTAGGTTCTAGAACCGGAATCTATAGATTAGGTTCCGGTTAATAAAATTTTAAACCCGAAACTTGTAGGGTACCCTGTTAGTACACGTTCCCTGTAGGGTACATGAAACCGGAACCTATCATTAAAGCCCAAATATAAAAGTCCTATATCAAAATTGTATAAAAACCATCATCTACCTCTCTCCCTCCTCTTATTCATTTTTCATCTTACTCTTAAAGGTTTAATTAATGGTATTAATATAAGTATTTGTAATATTATATTAAATATTCTAGACAATTAGTGTTGGTTTGTTATATTTGTAGTACTGTATTAAAGTTATAAGCTTTTATTGTGAAAATCCATTTTTTTTAAAAAAAAAAAAAAATTGTAACAATTTATCAAGTAACTATTAAGCTACTTTGAAAGACAGGGTACCCTATTCCGAAACCGAAACCTACAGGTTCCGGTTTCCAATTTTTAAAAACCTGTTGAACAGGTTTCGATTTCAATTCCTATTTTTAGGAACCTGTTACAATAGGTTCCGGTTCTGAATCCTGAGATTTTACAGGGTACCCTGCTAAGCTCACCCCTAGTAATATGTTCAACGTTGCAAGGACAACATATAGAGTAGACAATTAGGCAAAGGGTGAAGAACATTCGATACATAAACTTTGTTTGAGGGATAACCTCGGACAGGTCGTTAATGACTTGTGATTGGGGGGATGAGGAGGTGACGTCTCATTTCTAGGGGTGAATTTCAAACGTAAGACCTTTAAGTTACCAAGTGAAACTCACACCACTAGTGACTAGATCAAATCTTTTTTAGTTTTATAATATGTAAGGAGAAATTACTTTCTATGAAATGAAAGTACATACTCTTTATAAGAACATTTACATTCAAATTAAACTAGATGTGTATACGTATAGATTATTGATCAAAGTTTAATACCGAATACCTTTCTCCTAAAAACATTATCAAGACTATGATTTTAGCAAGTAGTGTTTAAAAAGTTCAGTTCCCTTAAAATAAAAAATTTTAATCCACTCTGAAAACACAAACTTTTATAGTTTATTTTTTTATGAGAACTTCCAATACTTATAACTTACAGCTTGTAAATATATATTGTAATGAAGGGATGACGAGAGTTTAGCCTTGTTTTGTTAACCTCGTATTTATTCAAGAAATATTAAATTAATGTAAGATTAATACAATAAATAAGTAGTTGGATATATATAATTGAATATTAAATTACGATTTTTAATATATTTCGAGTGTACCTATTATTACTATATGATCTTCCAGTCTTTCCTATTACCCTACATTTCATGACTAATTCAAGATAATTCTACAATATTCCATGATAAATTGATAATTTTCTCAACTTAACTAATGTGCAATAGGAATATAGAATGAATTGACGAGCAAGTTGAAACTTTTGTGGAAATACTACTCCGTATATTCTATCTTAAGTCTTTAACTACATGGAGTATTAAATTTGCTCGGATTGTGGGTTGATACTCGCACGCGGCATGCAAGCGCGTGAAGACAGTATTAAACAATTCGTATAATGGTATATGCGGCTGCTGAGAATTTGGAGAGACAACGAATTAAGTCTTTCCACTCAACCAGGAAGAGCCATTTTTGCATTTGCTCCTTTTAATCTTTCTTCCTTATTTATTTATTTATACCAAAAAAAAAAAATTGATAATATCCTTTCAATCTTTGATTCCTTTTCAAACTTTAATAATGGGTGATCTTTAATTATAACAATAACATATTTATAAAGATAAAAGTAAAGGCATATCAAACAATCAACCTACTATAAAAGTACAACACTT